CTCAATAGTGACAAATACAAATCCAGGCAAATAGATTGCTTTCATCTTTGTTAATGCTGCGCTGAAAGTCAATAGAGGCAATTTAATCAATATTGTAAAAAAAAGGCTTGTTAACCCTGAGTAGCCACCAAATTTAATGGAGTGAAAAATGTGCAAAATGTGCATCCGAAACGCTTATGCATAAATAAATGAATACATAAATCACATGCAACCAAGGGGAAAAGGAATAGCCTTTTTAAAAGCACACATGGCCTGGATAAGTACACACGCGTTTGTGTGCGGATACACACACATAAATTGAACATAAATTCCCTCCAAAAGAGAATATAACTCCGCTTCGGGCACAATATACACGATTAATTATTGAGCCACTCACTAGAACTTTTGGGGATGCTCTGCCTTATACAACAATTTTATAACAGCAGCTTCCCTTTAAATTCATTTTAAAACAGAATGTGCTTCAGTCCCCTCCCACCTGACTACTCGAGGTACGTTTGATTTTCAGGGGTTGATGAAAGGTCAACACCTTTAAGAGCTGATAAATATCACATGCAATCAACACAGAGGAAACAGAAACACCCGTCCCCGCCATCCCCCTGAATAAACACAGTGACTAGTGCACAGATCTCACATTAATTCACACATGCCAGCAGTGCTTTCACGGAGTCACACTGATCCTTGCATCTAAATAGTTACTAGTGTTCCCAAAAAAGAGAGACCGAGAGCGACACGGGTCTCCGGCGCTGAATAGCAACCGCAGAGGATATTAGACTGCGGTGCGTTGATCATTGATCCTTCTGGCCGGCGCAAAGGCCTCGAGGCCTGCAGGCCTTTTGCCTTGACGGAGGAAGTCGCAGACAAGACAGTTTTTCCGTTAATTTCTACTTAGAGTGTTTCGAAAGTGTAATCAAGCCATCCGCCATCTGTCCATCCAGATTGCCATTACATGAAAGGAATGCGTTTGATGTCAACTCTGCGACAGACGCAGCCGTTCTACCTTGAGTCGGCGCAGCAACGCGGTGAGAACACAAAGGCAAACAGGGCGGGGCAAACACGCATCTGTTTCTCCTGCGCGTGTGGTGAGAAGCCAGCAACTTTTTGGCGTGAAAGCATTCCTGCCCCTGGTTTTCTTTATAAATAAGCATATTCCAAAGGGAGTGAAAGGACAGATTCATTATTATTTGCACTTTATACTATTTCTTTCACTGCAGTATTAGTGGCTGGAGATGGTCCCACTCAGCTGACGTTGGCTGACATGTGGGTGGCCAATGCATCTCTCTGGGGGCAGATAATCCACACTGAGCCCTCCGTAGCGGAGGTCAATTTCACACTCGCGGCCACTCTAATGTCTGCTAACACATACAAATCTATACCAATGCATGTGTGTGCACGGGCAAAGACACACACCCAAACCACACACCCACCGCCTTGAGGCGAAACAGGTGGGTTTAATGTCAGAATCTCCCTTTTCACAAAGAACGCACAAGTATAGAGAGAGTAGTAGAGAGAGATATTGCCTTCATATAATTCCATCGATAATGCAATAAAACTGAGCGGAAATGAAATAAAAGTCCTTGAGAAGTGCTTTGAACGGGGATGATGTTGATATCCATCTACCCGGTTTACTAAAGGGGATAATGTTCTCACTACTAACTACGTGACACGCTGGGAGCCCACAGGTTGTTTCGCCTCGGGCCGGTTCCTCTCCAGCTGCTGGTTCAACGGACAAATCCATACAGTATTTCTTTGCTATTTTATTATCTTTCTTTCAAACAAGTTATCTGAAAACATGAATGAAGCGACTCTTGCTGCAAAAATAAATCGATAGGCACTACAATTATATGCATGACTAGTATGCATACTGGCCATAAGGATCTTTTCATTTGTTCATTTTTGTTTTAAACATCTCTAACCTACAAAGAATGGCATTTCGTCTTTGTGGTTACAATTACTTTTTGTGCACAACCACTATCCGCCATAATGCATCATCACGGCTCTAATATTACAACCTTGTTTTTTTTATATTCATTTTATCTTGTGGTGCATGAAAATGAGCAATCTTGACCTTAAATAAACACCACAATACAATACTAAGAATAAGTATGTGCAGCGTGCACAGCTACTCTCCAGCTATGATTTCCTTCCTCTCTCAGTCCATCGGAACGAGGTAGATTCATTGAAATGACATCGCTAGTCAGAGACCAGACATCATCAAACATCAAAGTGTCTGTTGGGACCATCTGTTTTATAATGTACTCTGCTGAATTGGAATTCTTTTGCACATGCAACAGGATTATAACGCTGCCCGAATCTAGGCACTCAGCTTTAAATATTTCAAGTGTTAATAAAAACTACTGCACTGGGGTGTTGTTAAATATAAAAATGAAAACGAAGATAACTAAACTGATTTCGAATGCTACGAGCCTCCTTCCAGGAAGGATGATTATTTTGTCATCCTACATGTACCACTAATGCCTCTTCTTCATTTGGAGTTTTCCTACGGCAGATGGCTCACATGCAGTAGTTCAGTGAGAGAAGCCAGTGCATTATCTCCATTGAAAAAGATGTCCATTAGATGCACATGGTCTTTGATTCTGTTCAACCATACCCAGGATGAAAGGAGTGAACTGCACACCTATGCATCCATGCGGTTTAAATGAGCTTCTGCATCTTTATTAGGCATCTTAGCACAAAAAACAAAGTGTCTTTGTGTGCTGTTATTTCCATGTGTGCACGTGACAGAAGGAGGAACATGAACAAATAAACGGACAGAGCCCTGTTCTTATTAAACTTCTCCTCTCCATCAACAGAAACACAGAAACAATGCCCTTCCTACATAACCGTCAGTCTTATAATCAGCCCAAGCAGCCATGAACAATGAGACAGCTCGGTTGTTTACTTTGGACAAAAAAGAAAAAAAAAATCTTTCTTCAAGCATCCGTGTCAATACCCTTCTCATCTAATCTCCACCTCATCCAGAGGGTTCGTCCCACCAGACCCTCCGGTGTAGATTTAGTCATTTCATAATCAAGAGACGTACAGTTTCCTGACTGTACCTGTATTTCCATTCCCTGTTTTGACTTTCAGATTCGCCATGACAGGTCGCTTAGAGGTGATGAAAATGGACTGCATTTAAATAAAGACTTTATACCTCACCAGACAAATCAATTTACAATTTGCCTCTCATTCGCACTTTGACACACACGCATGGTGCCATGTTGCCGGGCCTTGGGAGCAACTTATTGTCCGGTGTCGTGCTCAAGGACACTTCCAGGGGGCCGGGAATCAAAGCCCAAAGCAATCGTTTTTTTAAAGGCTATAAATACAAAGTGAGGACCGCTGCTTTCACCTTGGGGATGAGAACGGTCGGGTAAAGTGAAGAAAATGGGGATGGATTAAAACCGTAAAAAAAAGAAAAAGAAAATACTTATATCTTGGTGGTTTGTTTTGGAGTTATGATGTGAAGGGCCATTTCAGCAAGGCTAATTACATCCTGCCTAAGAACACATCACATTTTTCTTTTAAAAAGGCTCAGTGATACTTAACTCTGCTCACATAAAAAAAATTACCCAAACTGTTCAATATTTATGTCTGCAATATAAAATGCGTTTATCCAATTTCATCCAATCCCCACGTTCCCCTTTTTGTTGTTGTTGTTGTTTGAAATTTTTCTTTCCATCTTCCTCAAAGCTGTTCTGTAGACTTAATAATTACTTGGAATCATTTTGTGGAAGCTCAGCTTTATGCGTCTGGTCCCAGGTTGAACTCGTAGCTCTGCTGAAAAATGCTAATGGAGTCATTACTTGCAGTCTGACAGAAACAATGTTCCAGGAATGATGAATTAAACAATGTCCTTTCTTGTAGTGGGACTTCGTATAACCTGTGAGCATTAAAAACACAGCTGGGGGTTGAATTTCTGTCTAAGTTCAAACTTACCATTTTGTTCCACCGAGCAGGGGGAGAGAAAACTTTAAGAAGCCCTGTGTTTCAATCTGAATGAAGCGGGAGAGGGTTAGTTTAGCTTTGTAAAAAGGCTTTGTGGTGGCTTTTAATTGCAGCTTTTCAACGGCAACCTGCTCATTATGTTTGAAGTGATTTCATAAAGAATATTCACAGCTTTGTTTCAAGGGCTTTTTGTATTCATTCGATCTTTGAATAACATTCATTTCGATTTGATCTCATTTCAGGATGGCATTGAATTATCATTTCTCTCATATACATCTCTGGTTGGATTATTTACAGGTCAAAGCCTCGTTTCAATAATTCTGAAACCAATGCGCTCACATATTTTGTGAAATTCTAGAATAAATAAATAGCTGTGAATGCCACTATAAAATTGGCAAAAGGCTTTATTAGAGATACAAAAGGCACGTAAAATTGTCAGAATGACATCCTGCTATTACCAGTCATTAGATTAGATTAAACTTTATTGTCATCGCACAGAGTACAAGTACTGAGGCAACGAAATGCAGTTTAGCATCCAACCAGAAGTGCAAAATAGCAAAAGGTGCACAGTATGTGCATATGTAAAGTGTAATAAGTGAATAAATAGATATGTACAGTAAGAAGTAGATATGCAATATGAACAGTAATTGGGACAAGAATAGCAGCAATTGAGGTAAGAAGTGTATGTAGGTAGTGTAAGTATATGTAAAGTGCAGGTATAAGTATTAGTGGTGGTAATAAGTGAGATTGAATCAAAAGGAATATTAGTAAGTGTTTAATTTAAGTATCAACGGTCGTATATCCTTCAATGCCTGCGCTCCATCACTGCCGAAAGTTTTTTTTTTTTGTGGCAGGCTATGGAGGCTGAGGAGTATCCGATGACAGATAGGAGGATTTGTGACCCCACAACAGCTGTTCACCAACCGTCACCATCAGGTAGGCAGACAAGAGGACTCGAGACGTGAAGCCAAGAAACGCAGGTCTTAAACACACAAACTGTCCCTTACTATTTCACTCAGCCTTCCACTAGTCGAGGAGTGCGGCTTTTCCGCACACCCTCAGAAAGGATGTGTTAAAATCATACACACTTCTTGTGTTAGTACTAATTCAACACACGTTGTGTTGAATTATCCATTGTTTGTGTTAAAATTACACAAATATTTCACAGGAGTCACTAACACATCATGTGTTAAATAATTGTTCAATTGAGTTGCGCGCTGCAACTGCTTTGCGTCACAAACACGACTCCACACTCCAGTCCAGCAGGTGGCGGTACTGCGCCAATAAGCTGGTTTGTCAACTGCCACTCGACAGAAGAAGTTGATGTACGTTCGTTCCTATGACTGACAGTGAATTGCTGAGTCAAGGAAAAACGAAGACGGCTAACGGTAAGTTAGTCAATACGATTAATGCTGTTGAAATGTGTTTGTGAAATGTAGAGAGTTTTCGAAAATGGAAAACCGTAATGACTTAACAAATAACTAACGTTAGTAAATAACTTTAGCGACAACATTAATGTTAAACGTCAATATATTGTTACTGCTATCTACGTATTGGCGCTACGTTACTAGCTAACGTTAGCTAGTGTCCTGTGTTTCTGTTCCCTATGAAATATGGACTGAGCTGAAGTTATATTATAATATGGGTCTATATCGTATCTGATGCAGTTAACGTTGCGTGATGGATTCTGTCCAGAGTCAAAGTCGGCTCACGGCCCGCCAGCCAGCGTTCTTTTTAAATTAAATGTGATATTGAGCTAACGTTAAGTGCTGCTAATGCTAACACATTAATAGTTCAGTAATTTCGCCGACATATATTCAGTTACTCCAAAAGTTGACTTAACAAAAACAATGTTTCTGGTTTGACCGCTATATATATTTATGTATATACGGTTATGCGGGTTAGTGTTCTGTTTTCAAAAGAATTAATGTTAGCAGTCAAGTGCTATAGGCGGGAAAATGAATAGTTGAGGCGGTGTGGGGGAGGGGTAGTTCAGACTTTCAGGAGGGGAAGCGCCCTCCGAAACACTGGTATGTCCCATTTGTTAAAAAAATACTATTTCTGTGCACTTTCTCAATTGAAGGCCAAGGGCAATTTGTTCATAGTTAATCCAATTCACCAACAGCCGTTTTGTTCTTTTACAGCATTCAAATGGAAGGGAGTGAGGCTCCCAAGACATTAACAACAGTGTTCCTAGATGGGACAGAGATATGCAAGAAGATGCTTCAACTACCCTCTATTGCAGACATTCTTGATGCCTGCAAAAGTTCATTAACTTGCAATGCAGAATGTGATAGACTTCTAAAATTTAACACAGATTTTAATGAATACATTGACACGGACATCAATGGCAATGTCGGAAACTTAGACAAATATCACATTTTGTTCAAGTCAACCAAGCCAAAACACTCTCGGGAACAGTTGGTATGTACGTGTATTAGTCCTGTGAAAACTCAATTAATAATTCTTTTCTATTTTATAGACTATTTTGGCTGCCAATGAACTAACCCAGTAGATAAGCATTGTTGTCTACACCATTACGGAGCAATAGTTGTAGGATGTAAAAAGTAAAAAAAGAGCTCATTATGTATTTTATCATCTTTTTTTACTTTTTAGGCCTTAGATCCTGATATCTCAGCTGACCTTTTACATACAAATAGTTATGTACACCGTGATCAAGTTGGAATATTGTAAGATTGTTGGAAGATGTAATGTATAGGTGCGGTACGAGTGTATAACTGTGAGGTAAGAATCTTATGCATGATGGAACTCTATCATCTTAGTGATTTATATTGTATCTGATCAATCAATGAAATTTTCTTTTGAAGGCGGAACCGCCGGGTACAGATGCAGCTGGTCCAAGTGGTCAATTGGAGGTATGTGTCTTGAGAGATGTATAGATACTAGTATTACTAAATATTGGATATTTATTTGTGCAAATGGTATTGAATTGTATTAAATAGCATTTAACTGTTGAATAATTTATCTTGCTCATGAAAGCATGTTGGATCTAGTCTACTCCATGGTGTAAGGCGGTGAACACCATCTTCTCAATTATTATTATTATTATTATTGCTCTTGTTCAAGTGGTGACATTTTTTCCTTTTTAAAGGCTGAGCAGTTCAGTTCCTGTACAACTCATCCAAGCAGTCAACTGGTATGTGTCCATTGGAGATTCTAGTATCAGATATGGGCTGATACCATGGTAAAATATTTAGTGACCTATTGTTCACGGAGGGGGGTGGGTGGGGGGCTTATAGTTTGGTTTGTGTCAGAGAAGATTAGGACCATTGCATGTAAAATGGAATATTTTATTTGTAATTTGCCTTCACAGAATAGTCGAGGACAAATTGATGGTGCGCATGGATTTAATGCAGCCAGTCTGACAGCACTCCTTGAGAGTAAGGCCCGAAGTGTACTGGCTGAATATGAAAAATCAGGAACACTCTCTGTGACCTCCAGAAAACTTATTGTGAAGATAGGTGTCAGTGATCTGGTGGAGCGAAGGGGATTGTGAGTTTTTCCATTTTTATTGGAGATTATGAATATAGATATCTTGCTTTATTACCAATTAAGTCATTGGTCACAATTAAAAACAGTAGTTCATACTTCTGAAATTGTGCAGGACATATTTAGGTTAACTAATGTGACTTGTTAAATCAGTTAATCACAGTGAAATCACTCATGAATGCATTGCAGCAAAAATATGTGTTCTCTATAAAAGCCTTGTATAGTTTTCTATTTTATTCTGGCCTTAATTCTACATTTTTCTTTCAGTTACCCTTCAAGTGCTGACAAACAGAATTTGGCTAAAAGCTTAATAACAGTCTTCCCATCACTGAAGATCAAGATCCAAGAAGAGAATGAAGGATTTGTAAGTATAAACTAATTTGGTCTGACAGTAAAATACCTTTTGCATTATATTTGCTCAAACTTATTGGCCACCTAGTTGTAAAGCCACTGTGTTTGAGATTTTGCACACCTTGATGGCCTTGCACACCTTGGTTTTAGAGAGTGACCCAAATGTTTTTGATGCAACAGAATTTAGGATTTGATTAGGGTTACTAATCATTGGGTATTAAAACCCAATTACTAATCATTGGGTATTAAAACCCATGATTAGTAAATTGGTATTGGGTAACAAATATATTGTCTGAAATATAAGTTCATATTAAGGCAAGAATAGCATGGGACTCTCATGAAGAATTGTGGAGTCATCCTTTTATTAAAAAAAATCCCTTTTTATTTATCTGCATCCAGGAGCACTTTTATGACCCGGTGTCTCATTGTGGGTTCATCGAAATGAAACTGAGAAACCTACGGAGAACCCTCCATGATGATCAGCGACTGTATCGCAAGCGTGGCAGGTCTAGTAATCCCTCTGGAGTTAGTATAACACTGGAAGTGATTGCAGATGGGGAAGAAGAGTCCATCAAGGAGTGGATAACCTCTACCAAAAGGATGAGACCATCTCCTGAGAACATTGCATCTATCAAAATGGGCATGGAGAAAACCTACACCAACCGAAGACTCTGGATTACAAGCAAATCGCCAACCGTGGCTGAGGTTTTCCAGCAGTACCCTCGCTTTGTGGACATGCCATACTTGGTAAGTAATCAACATATTGGATTGCAGATGCACATCTAAACTGCCATATATACCCTTTGTATGCTTTTAATGATACGTTCATCTGTGTTTCAATGCAATGTCACAGTGGAATTTAAATTGTGTAACGCAAATTGTACTCATATACTTTCCCAATACATTCCCCCGGGTGCACTGTCATTTAACATCTTTCCCATTTCATTGTCTGTGACGCACAACACTTTATGAAAATTTGTACTTTTAGCACTAGTTTTTGGATTTTGGTAGAGGGTTGTTAATATTGACCAATATATTTTGGATTGTCTTTAAAAAAAATAATAACAATCATTTTTAAATTGGTTGTTTCTCTTTTCAGTTGGATGCAGAGTTTGGAAAAATGTTCCCCGGGAAGGAAGACCTCTTCCTTCGGAAATGGGAAGGACATATTGTTCCAAAACTACTTAAAGTGGCTACACTTGAAAATGACCCCCATGTCTTGCCAGCTGGTGAGGAGAGTGATGGTAAGCTATGTTCCATGCCTATGCGATACAGTTAACACGTTCTTTTTATTTGGTGGTCACCAGGGACTATGCCATATTTTATCATAACAGGGAAATCCGAGGGCTTCTTCATGACCTTACTATATTACTAGATCTAAGTGTCATTTGAATGTGTTTAAATGTCGGATTCGCCCAGAACAACCATATTGCTCATCTTTTTCTATTGTGATTATTTGGTGGACAACTTAAGTGTCTGAGATGGCATCAGTGATCATATACAGTATATCCCTTTTTTTTGTTCTGCTTAGAGTTCCTTTGCTTCAGAGCCCTTCAGATGCTCACACACTATTTGCCTCCTACTGCATCGGGGAGGGCTAAAGGATGGGCCAAATGCAGTGTGAAATCGGCCCTTTCGTACATCTTGGACATAAAACCGGTAAGAAAATCCCATCTCAAGTATCAGCACATGCTAATCCATCTTTTACATTGGCTAAAGGGCTATGTCTGACTTTTTCAATATATGCAATCACATGTTTGATAATCCTGTTGTTAATTATTCTGGACTACATGGTAAGGGGATGTATGCTACAGTATTACAAGTTTAGCATTGGGATTTTGACATATATTCTGAATTTTGTGTATTTGATATCAGCCCTTAAGAGCCCTATTTGTTATACGTGTTCTTTCCTAGACTGGAACAAGCATACCAAGCCTTCTAGAGGGATCTCCTGAGGAAGCAGTGGGAGTCCACCAGCCCAAGCTGGTGTGTTTAGGGCACCCCAGGACAGTTGCTCAGTACGTCATCATTGCAAAGAACGACAATGTCGCCATCCCCCTTCAAGACGAAGGTTTGACATGTGCCATTGACAAACTGTTCAAAGTTTTCTGGGTTTGCAACATGGCATATCCTGCCCAACTCGAATCAGTCTACAGTTTCTTTGAGTATGTTTATGACATGCCCATCTCAGGTGGGAAGAGATCAAAAGTTGTGGAACTTATTGCAAAGCTCCAGGCAGTATTGTTGTAAGTTGTACCACCATGTACAGTTGTCCCAAATGCAAGAAATCCATTTCGAAACAAGTCAGGACACTTATTAGACATCTTAGGCAAGTTCATGCAATTTCAGATGGACAGGATTATACAATTGTAGTCAGAACCACTGTCAAAGAACTTACCATAACTTTAATTCTTATGCCAGACATATAAACAGGGAACACACTCAGGTTGCAAACCCAGTAAATTTGGAACAAATGGTCAATTTTGGTAATGGGTCGGAAGATGTTTCTACGTCATGCTCCAACGCAATGAAAACTCCACAAACAGATTCGGAAACTTCAATGGATTGTCATGTTTCAGACCATCGTGAGACTGCAGCTTCCTTTGTTGCCAAAATGTACTGTGCATCAAATTCCACCCTAACCGATGTGCAAAAAAGCATTGCTTGCACTAAAGAGCTACTGGAAAAGACATTGGACGATTTAAAGGATAAAACTGCATCTGTAATTGATAGCTACTCTTTGTCAAATCTTTAATGCAGGATTTTGAAAATGCACGAAACATGTTTTCCGAGGTGGATACTCGGAATATATGAAAATATAATAAATAAATATTTTTCTGAAAAACACTCTTGTGAAGCCCACAGAAATTTTCTTAGGGTACAGAGGCGACACGGCAAGAAAGCAGGGGAAATTGAAGTACTGGCTGCAGACACTTGCCAGTATATCCCCATTATTGACACCATAAAGTTTCTCTTTAAAAGTGAAAAGATGCAGAGACTCTCTCAGCAATCTAAAAAAGGTGTTGATGGTAAAATGCATGATTATTGTGATGGCACACAGTTTACACATCATGCATTATACAATAGATATCCTAATGCCCTACAAATCCAACTTTATTTTGATGACTTGGAAACGACTAATCCTTTAGGTTCAAAAACCAAAGTTCACAAAATGGGAGCAGTTTACTTTTGCTTGAGAAACTTGCCCGTGCAATTCAACTCATCCCTTGCAAACATTCACCTTTGTCTACTCTTCAATGCTATGCTATAGACAGAGAGTATGTAGTAGAGGTATATGGCTTTGGCAAAATACTAGAGCCTTTGTTGGATGACATTCAATTTCTTGAAACAGAAGGGATAGAGGTTGAGTTGTTTAAATTGATGTATTTACTGCATTTTGTCTATAAAAATGTTAGTTTGCAGTGGTCATTTGGGAAAAACAAATGTGAACATCTGTCAAATGTTTTAATATGAAATTAATCAAATAAAATTGTGACCTAAATGTCTTAGTTGTTTATTGTGAGTGTTTTAGAGCATATTTACCATGAAAAAATTGCATTTTAAGAATGCTTTTTAGAAAAAGTATAAATCTTATTTTTAACACATCTTTTGGGTTAAATTAACACATCTTTTGGGTTATTTTAACACATTGTTATGTTGAAATATAGAACACACAACGTGTGTTAAATGTTCTGACACACTGGCTGTGTTAAAAGCAACACAGAATGTGTTGTCCTTAACTAGACACACAGATGTGTTAAAAATTAACACATGATGTGTTATTTTTAACACATCTGTTTTGAGAGTGCATCCTCCAAAATAAATGCAATGTAATCCAACATTGGTGAGCGCGTAAAAAGATAGCAGTATGGGGGTTTTGTGTTTCAGTTGACAGTGGAGAGTAATGTTACGAGAAGGGGAGACGGCAGCACTGCAGTAGCAGCGTCACGAGTCTGCGGTGCTCTCCCCGGGAACCGGCACCCATTCCTTGTCCGTCCTCCCAAGCACACTGTAGCGACAGGATCAGGAGGAAAATGAGAAAAATAATTGGAAGGTCAGATTTGATAGAGGCTACTCCAGTGAAAAAAACAAGCTTTTAATTGGTAGAAGGGCACATTGGTGAGTTTTCAAGGTAAAAAGTGAAAGCACTCATTATCCTTTCCGCCTTGCAGAAGCTGCCGCTGCCTCGCAGGCCACGGCAGGGATGGCTTCTGCCTTCCTTGACGGTGTCAGGCCGTGACACAAGGCTTCCTGGATTTTTGTCGTGCCAAAGTTGCACTCTAATGAGCCACTGAAAAAAGCATTACAGCACGTTGGCCAGAAATATTAGAAGTGAAGTTGTGTTTGAGAATAGCGGGCGTCAACGTAATTGCATCAGTTTGTTCCATGTTCTTTTTTTTTCAGCTTTTCAACTTAAAATGTCACCTTCTCCAGTCAACTTCTCACTTTTTCCTCTGTGCCTCTGTTAAACTCGCCAGGTTGCATCATGGGTGCAGGCGGCAGTACAGCGGGATTGAGGACGTGAGGCTCTTTCTCTCTGTCTGTGAATCCCACTAAAGCCCGGGTATCACCTGTGAGAGCTGGGAACTTGGCTTTGGAAAGCCTGAAAAGTGTTGCGTGGCAGAAGGAGCGTCACCCTGCAGGACGAGTCCTTTCATCAGACTCCCCCTCTCACTGTGACCCTGCCATCTGGGAAAGCAGATGATACTAATGAGGGACGGCTCCTTGTCTCCTGGCACCAAATGCACACACTGCTCCCATTGTGTACTACACTTTCCCTGCCGCCCCCCCCTGTAGTCACAGACACTGCTCATTGCGCGCAGTGACTGACAAAGACAGGTATGCAACGACATGGGGAGGTTTAACGGCACGATGAGGGTTCGGCATGCGCTACCGTGAAAGAAAGAGGCTTCAGAAAACGTTTTTGAGGGGGGTGGTATGCAGCAGACAGTGGTCGGCTGGACTTTTATGTTGCTGCACCGTGTAAAAAGAAAAAGAGCTGACAGTGACGGTGAGTGTGTGTCGGGCAGGCGGCGCGGGTTACTTGGCTTTGCGAGAACTGGAGAGGAGAGACTTCTTTGAGATGTGAGGGTCAGACAGGGCTAATTAGACTGCAGCGGCCCCTCAAATTTCTGCCCTGGGATATTAATGAAGTGATCCATAGGAAAGCAGCTGCTCACCACTCAGACCCCCACCGCCTCCATTCGCTGCCCTCCCGCCGCTCTGCGGCTCCACCTGGGAAGGGCGGTGCTGTGCCGAGGGAAAGGCCCGGACGATTCCCCCCCACGAGAGCATGACAGCCCCCCGATCGATGGCCCGGCGGAGCAGGAGGCGGATGAGCGGAGAGTTGGGGTGTGCAGCTGTGCGTGTGTCGCCATGCCAGGAGAGGGTGACAACAGCCCGGCTTTGTGTCCCACATCGACCACAGGAGTGAGAACAGTGGCCCGAGGAAGGGTCGGCTTGTCTCCATATTTTACCTGTTCCTGCCTTGCTGTGGAGTGTCATGAGTTACTACCGAGGTAAAGCTTCACTGGTACTCACGCCTCCATCACAGGCACACATGTTTTTCTCCAAGTACACACAGTCCAGCCTGTAAATGTCACACTGACAAAAGTATGTGTCTTTCACATATCTATGGAGAAACATCCTGAATATCAGCGAGTGATCGTCAGACTCGAAGAAAGACAGGAATAAAATGAAAAGCCTTCCTTCATAAAATATGCACCACTTTTTGAGAGAATATACAGAGTGACGCCACACCTGACAGCCACATCAATCTGTGGGTGCAAATCAAAATACAAAGCTCTGATCCTAACATCAGATCTCAATGTCAAAGGAGGAGGACAAATCAAAGATGTTAACCTTTTGAGTGAAAATTGAAAAAAGAAAAGCTTTCTGAGTCCAACTAAAATGAATACAAATCTAAGACGGTCACATTGTTTTTCTCTGCAATACCAACGTTTTTGCTGACTGTCGAATGTTACCCCTCAAACCCATCATGGCACCGTTGCATTCTGGATTCTCTCCCTCATCATACTTTAGTGTTTCTCAGGCAGCATACAACACACACACACACACCACAGTTTTGTCCCGGGTCGAGACAATACCTCCCATCAGACGCCGTGTTGCCATAATGAGGTACCGGTGGTAAGAGCGGGCGGAGGGGTTTATTTCACGGTAACTATGTCTCCGACATGCAGCGGCCCCTGGATGGGCAGCGGCAACAACTGGTGATAAACAAATAATTAACAAATGAGACTGATGCAATTCATCAGCCTAATTAATTATGTGATTGGTGTCAACTACAATTTGCTCTTACAGACAGTACAAACACAGGCTGTGACCTTTTAGTGTGTTATTGTCATTGTACAGAGTAACTCTGTTAACTGTACACATGACAATGAACATCTTAGATCTACAAACAATTGTTGCCTCTTTTAAAACGTCACTTTCATTCATTGCATTCCTCATCGTCCTTGTCACGGAAACTGGTTGTCAGCTGACGTCAGCACACTTTCATTTAATTTAAATATATGTCCTTGAATAAGGTGCGCGGGGTTAATATTCCCAGTGTGGAGTTCTCGCCTAAAGGCAGAGGCATCAAATAGCTCTCGCAGGCTGAGGTCTTCAGAGATGCATTTAGCAGAGTGAAATCTCTGCTCTGACAGCTTATTCTGCACACATCCAGTGTGACTGCACGGGGACTGGAGACGGGGCTGAAGGCCAGCAGGCCAGTGCGAATGAGAGCACCGCTGCAATTGAAGGTGAGTCGCTGCGAGAGGTCACTGGATGAATACTGAACGAGTCACATGGGTGCACAAGCACCGAATCAATGAGTCCTTCGCCACCACGCTGATGGAAATTAAATATAGAAATACAAAAAACAACAACCTCAAATTCATTTGTGGGGAAAAAAAGACAACTTTTACTTAACTTTTTATTCTAAATGTTTTAAAAGCAATGCAGATGGTGTCGGTGCACATGAGCGCCCAAGCGGGTTGCTTACAAATTTTCTTTCCACGTATTAAGGCAAAATATTATTGTCAGACCAGAAGATAGTGGTGGGTAAGCCTGCTACTGTGAGCCATATACCCTTGTTAATGTTGCTGCTGAGCTCCAATCTGTGGGTAAACAATTGCCAGCAGCATCTTCTAAGAGGCTTCCCCATCAAAGCCGGGTGAAACAGGGTGACCCCTTTCTTCCTTTCATCCACACATCTCTTAATGAACACTCACACTGGCTGAACGTTTTCTTCCTCTCTTGATTGACTTTTACCTTTCTTTTGGCCGCTGATGGATCCGTTGTTTGGGCAGCGAGGTCAAATCCCCGATGAGAGTTAACCCTCGGACGGCTTTGATTTCCTGGTATACAGTGCTGTGTCGTGGTTCATGAGTAATTGAACACTATTGATTCGAAGGTCTGGGGGTGACAATAATGAGGTCACATTTCAGGCGACAGCAAACACAGGCTGTGACGAGGCACACACACACACGCACACACACAAATCCTTCTCACCTACACGCTCCATGATAGCATCACTATCCAGTGTCTTCGGCAGCACTTGCTTTTGCTCTCCTTATCTGCCTTGCTGTCAATACAGACAACCCTCTGCTGCACCGGGGGCACGAGGCGATATTGACATTCAGCTCAAACCCACAGCTCTGAGTGGAGTCCAGGGTGTCGCACATGAATTATGCATGTCCTGACGCCAAGGTGCTGAGCAACACCAGTGCCATCATAATTGAAACAATTGAAAAGACAATACCAGATGGGTCAATAATTAGACAGCAGGAGGCGGAAACTTGATCCGGACGCTCCCCTGCTCGCCCTGCCAACCCCAACCACCGTGC